GATAAACAAACTGTGGTATATCCACACAATGGAATATTACGGAATGATAAAGAACAACGATGAAGCTGTGAAACATCGTATAACTTGGTGGAAGCTAGAACTTATTATGCTGAGTGAATTTAGTCAGTCACAGAAGGACAAGTACTGTATAAGACCACTATTATAAGAACTCAAGAAAAGGTTTAAATACAGAAGAAAACGTTCTTTGATGGTTATGGGGGTGGGGAGGGAGGGTGAGGGTTATTCACTAACTAGATAGTAGATAAGAATCATCTTAGGTGAAGGGAAGGAGAGCACAAACTACAGGGGAAGCCAGCACAACTGGACTAAACCAAAGCTAAGAAGTTTCCTCAATACAATCAAATACTTTGAGAGACAGAGTGGCAGGGATGTGGGATCTGGGGACCACGCTTTCAGGGCACATCTAGGTCAATTTGCATAACAAAGCTTGTTAAGAAAATGTTCTGCATCCTACTTTGGTGAGTGGCGTCTGGGGTCTTAAAAGCTTGCAAGCGGCCAACTAAGATGCTTCAACTGGTCCCAACCACTTGGAGTAAAGGAGAACAAAGAACACCAAAGACACAAGGAAAGTATTTGCGCAAGAGACAGAATGGGCCACATAAACCAGAGACTTCATCAGCCTGAGACCAGAAGAACTAGATGGTGCCCGGCTACCACCAATGAACATCCTGACAAGGAACACAACAGAGGGTCCCTGATGGAGCAGTAGAATGATGGGATGCAGAGCTCAAATTCTAGTAAGAAGACCAGACTTAATGGTCTGACTAAGACCGGAGGCGCCCCAGAAAGTGTGGCCCCGGGTCTCTCCATTACCCCAGAACTAAAACAATTTCCGAGGCCAACTCTTCAGCTAGGGATTGGACTGGACTGTGGGGCATAAAGTGATACTTGTGAAGAATGTGCCTCTTAGACAAGTAGATACAAGAGACCAAAGGGGTGGCTTCTGTCCAGAGGTGAGATGGGAAGGCAGAGAGACTTAGGAGCTGGTTGAATGTTCATGGGGGATCAGGGGTGGAGGGGAGGAGTGTGTTGTCACAGAATGCAGTGAGTGGTTGGGGGTCTCATAACAATGTATGTAAAAAAAAAAAAAAGAATTCTGTATGGGAGACTAACTTGAAAGTAAACTTCATTTAATTACAACAATAAAATTTTTGATTAACAAAAAAAGAAATGGAAGTCTTAGGTGGCTTCTTTTAATTTTCTTTTTGCTCATATGTGTACAAGTAAAAACTTAGAGAAGAGTTAGGACCCATCATCAAAATAGGTTTTTAATAATTACGGCAAGAAGTTTCCCCCAGAAGCTATACTTGGTTTGATGTGGCTAACAGTTTTCTAGTACTGTTGTGGCTGAAGAAGATACTGGATCTCAGAGCTGAAGAGAGGTCTACAAATTTAGAGAAATTATTAGGATAATAACTATCAGATTAATACATATTTTTATAGATTTGTACTTCTTCAACATTTCTCATCATTGCCATACCACAAACAACTATGACCTCAAATATATCAAACTACTAGCTCTAAATAAGTCTTAAGTATTTGCAGAATTTATAGTAAAATATTTCAACTTGATGGATTCTTGGATAGTTTTTTCTGTGTTTTTGCTGGAGTGGGCTGCCAGCCTAAGTTTTCCAAGCCTTTTTTTTTTCTTTCATTGTATTGTTGTTGCTGTTTATTAAACCAAGAGGGTGGGACTTTAGGGCCATGCTTGCCTAGTTGCAGAACAGTTAGGACTGATTAACTTCAGTTTTTCTATTACTATATTTTTATTCAGATAATGTATGCCCTCTATGTTTGCTTGCCAGCCACACCCCCCAACCCACGAGGTATTTTCATAAGCATGCTGTGCTAATTTTTTTTACAGCCACATGTAAAAAAAATTGCATAGCGGCATTTATGACAATGCTTTGCAGTGGGGCGGGGGGTATGGTTGTCAAACAAACGTAGAATGCGCGTGTTATGTTAGTAAAATACGGTAATATGGGATATTGGAGTAGAGGGAGCAGGCAGTTGGAACAGAATTTATAATTATTTTGATGACAAAAGATATAGTGATATTGCTGTCGAGTCAGTTCTGACTCATGTCGGACAGAGTAGAACTGCCCCATAGGCTTCCAAGGAGTGGTTGGTAGATTCAAACGGTTGATCTTTTGGTTAGCAGCAAAGCTCTCTCTTACCCATAATTCCACTTTCCAGAATCATTATTAACATTTTGATTTATTTTTACTATATTTTAAAGTACAAAATTGGCACTATTCTGTATATCCAGCTTTATTTTGAAACTTGCGTTTATCACTAATTGGTACAAGCTTCCCCCATTTTGTTAAATATTCTTTTAGAACTTAAAAAAAATCTGTATATTATACTCTCCTATGGAATTGACAATTTATTTAACTATATCCCTATTGTTGGACATTTGGGTTGTTTCTAACTTTTTGCTTTTAGAAGTAATGCTGTTGTGACCATTCTTGGCACACACACGTGTGTATCTTTAATTACTTCCTTAGGATATTTTTCAAGACTAGCTCTTCATGGGTCATAGGGTGTAAATATCTGTATGGCTCTTGATACATACAGCCAAATTGTGCTCCAGGATTGTTACATGTACTAGTTTTTACTTCCACTATCACAGAGAGCCCTGGGGGCACAGTGGTTAAGATTATTGGCTGCTGACCGAAAGGTCGACAGTTGGAATTCACCAGCCACTCCTTGGAAACCCTATTGGGCAGTTCTACTATATCCTATAGGGTCACTATGAGTCAGAATCAACTCGACGGCAACAGGTTTGATTTTTGGTATCAGAATGTGAGAAAGCCTATTTCACCACACCTTTTCTGAAGTGTACTGGTAATCCCATGGTAGTAATGATTTTAAAAATAATTAGGTGAAATTAGCATTTCTTTGATTGCTAGTGAGGTTGAAAATATTTATATGTTTATTTTTCTTTTGTATTTATTTTATAACTTGTCTGTTCAGGGTTTTTAAAGTACAGTTTTTTCCCCAGTAACATGTTCATCTATTTATTATTGGTTTGTACATAATGAAATATATTAGCTAATTGTCTGCTGTATGCATTGCTTATTATTTACCACTTACCTTTTATTCTTGGTTATGATATGCTTTACCTCATCAAATTTCTTAATTTTTATGTAGTTTAATTATGATTTCTCTCTTCTCACCTCTTCCTTGTGTTTAGAATGGCTTTTCTCTACCTCAAGATCCAATAGTCATCTATATCTATGCTGTATTATACTATATTTTATAGTTTTTTTTAAAAATTTACTTTTACTTTTAATTCATTTGGAATTTATTCTGGTGAGATGCAGGGATCTTATTTTTTCCCTCCAAATATTTAAATAATTATTCCAGCACCATTTATGGATATCAGAGATGTTACTTTAAGGACTACGGTGTGCTTTAACCAAGCCATTGTGTTTTCACTTGCCTTATATGCATGCGAAAGCTGGGCAGTGAATAAGAAAAACCAACGAATTGGTGCCTTTGAATTATGATGTTGGTGAAGAGTATTGAATATACCGTGAGTTGCCAGAATAATGAGCAAATCTGTCTTGGAGGAAGTACAGCCAGAATGCTTCTTAGAAGTGAGGATGAAGAGACTTGTCTCACATATTTTGGACATGTTATCAGGAGGGATCAGTCCCTGGAGAAGGACATTATGCTTGATAAAGTGGAGGGTCAGTGTAAAAGAGGAAGACCTCAATGAGATGGACTGACACAGTGGCTACAACGATAGGCTCAATCATAGCAATGATCATGAGGATGGCGCAGGACCAGCAGTGTTTCGTTCTGTTGTACATAGGGTCACTGTGATTTGGAACTGACTCGACAGCACCTAACAACAGCAACAATTTATTGATAATCCTTTTTATTTCCATTGATTTGAAATGTTCTCTTGGTCATATGCTTTAATTTTTACAGTTATTATCAGTATGTATATACTTTTATTCTAAATTTTGATATTGTCAGACTTCACATTTTTCTGTCACAAGATCGTGAAATAATATTTAATGTTTTTTGTACTTCTTGCTCACTAGTGAGATTGAACATCTTTTCATGTTTATTGACTTCCTGTTTTCTTTTCTTTTTGTAGTGCCTATTCAGATTTTTTTCCTTTTTTTTTATTAGTGGTATTTTTATGGATTCATAGGAATTCTTCATGTATTCTTTGTAACAGTTTTTTGTTATATGCATTATAACTTTCTTTTTTACTATCTGTGATTTGACTTTTCATTTTATGTTATTAAATTTCAATGTGGTTGAATTTGTCAATCTTTTATAGTTTGTGTTTAATCTTAATTAATTTAACAATAACTTACTGTGCATCTCCTGTGTCCAGGGCATTCTTCTAGGCACTTGGGATACATCATGAACAAAATACACGTGATTTCTAGAGTTTACATTGGAAAAGCTCTTACCTACCCTGAGTTCATAAAAATATTTACCTATTTTTTTTTCTAGAAGTGTTTAAGTTTTACTTTTTCACTTTTAGGCCGTAAATCCATCTGGAATTTGTTTTTGTGTATGGTGTGAAGTAGGAAGTCTAATTTTAGTTTTCCATATGGTTCTGCCAAGATCTCACCTATTTACTACTTCGCAGGGCATTGGCACATAGTTTTCTTAAGAAGGAAGAGTTGGCAGTTAGTAACCTTGGTGTAATTCTTCAGTCTGGTGCTGTGTTTTACTACAAAGAAATATTTAAAGATAGTTTTACCTGTGGTACCCCTTGAAAAGAGTATAGTGCTAAAGGTGGCAGTCAGACTGAAACATTGAGAAATGAATGAGTTTGAGAAAATGGAGATGGAGAGCTTAAGTAGCTCTTTGTCTGATGGTTGAGTATGAGAGGGCAGAGGAGGAAGAGAGGCAGTTCTTCAGATTTCACTTTTTATTTGTATACCTTTTGAAAGAAATAAAATTGGATCTTTATATTGTGTAATTTGTCTTTTTCTTAATTTTCCTAGCCTCCACCAGGCAATGTGAAAATGCCTAATGTACCTAATACACAACCAGCAATAATGAAACCAACAGAGGAACCTCCAGCTTATACACAGATTGCAAAGGTTAGTTCATGTTAGCTGTGTAAATTCATTTTAGAAATTAAATTGTCAATAACATTTGCTTTTTGAGCAAAACAATTCTTTAAACTGTTGTATTCCTTATTGTTTAAATTTTAACCTGCTTTTGAGTCTGGATTAGCTAGCTTATCAACTCTATAATACTTACGCTCCTTGTTAGCTTATAGCATTATCTTTATTCTGTTGTTAGCAGTTATTGAATACATATAGCATCTTGTGTACAATTTGTATAGAGAAAACTTTCTTGCCTTTGGTCTCACTTTTTAATGCACAAACCATTACAGTAACAATGATACAATAATAGATCTTGGAAGAGCATTACAATGGCTAAACAGGAGACAGTGGTAGTAGGTATGAGAAAGTGGCCAAAGTACAATGAAAAAGGAGATGAATAGAATGCCTGCTATCACATAAGGACAAATGGAGTTACAAACCAGGATTTCTTACTCATATCCTTCTTTGATCTCATTATCTTATATAAGATACCATATAATATTCTTGCATTGGGTACCTTATGTTCCGTTTAACCCAATTGACAAGAACCAATTCAACCGTTTCCCTTTTCTCTCTTCTTCTTGTTCATTTAGGCACAGCAGTCACCTTAATTTTGTTTTCCCAATTAGCTCATGACTCTAACTACTCTTATTGAGAGAAGTTTTTCATGTCCTATTGGACCTAACATTCCCATTGAGGGTTGTTGTCATGGATTGAATTGTTTCCCCAAAACTGTATGTATCAATTTGGCTGGGCCATGGTTCCCAGTAGTGTGTGGTTGTCCTCCATTTTGTGATTGTAATTTTATGTTAAAGAGGATTAGGGTGGGATTGTAACACCCTCTCTAAGGTCACATCCCTGATCCAGTGTAAAGGGAGTTTCCCTGGGGTGGGGCCTGTACCACGTTTTATCTTACAAGAGATGAAAGGGGAGCAAGCAGAGAGTTGGGGACCTCATACCACCAGGAAAGAAGCACCAGGAGCATGACATGTCCTTGGGACTCGGGGTCCCTGTGTGTTGAAGCTCCTCGACCAGGGGAAGATTGATGACGAGGACCTTCCTCCAGAGCTGAGAAGTGAGGGCCTTCCCCTGGAGCTGATGCCCTGAATTTGGACTTGTAGCCTACCAGACTGTGAGAGAATAAATTTCTCTTTGTTGAAGCCATCCACTTGTGGTATTTCTGTATAGCAGCACTAGATAACTGAGACAGTTATCATAATGAAAAGACAAAAGTGGGCCAAATATCCCCATAATTTTTTCTGAAACTTGAATCTTGAATAATTCCTGTATTTTAGAAAAGCATTTGAACTAGCATAGTAGAAAGAAGTAGGAGATATTGTATAAATGGTTTAGTATTTTATACTTCTTGATATACACTTAATGATATTTTTTGTTTAGGAACATGCCTTGGCCCAAGCAGAACTTCTTAAGCGCCAGGAAGAACTAGAAAGAAAAGCAGCAGAATTAGATCGTCGAGAACGAGAAATGCAAAACCTCAGTCAGCATGGTAGTATGCAGAGAATCTTGAAATAAAATTAACTTTTAAACACTTTAAATTAATGTCTGCACTAGCTCTGGGTCATTTGGTTTATGGATAAAACTTTGCCCTGTTTTTCTTTTCTAGCAAGGAGACCTGATACAGCAGATTTCCTACTTGATACTCTAGCTCTCTGATCTTGGCTGATTTGTATAGTCTTTTGATGGATTAGAACAATGTTATCCTCAGTGCCCAGAAAGTGAATGCGAATATATTAATTCTGGTTTATTCTAAGGCCAAGAGGCTTTGATTTTGCACTTGGGCCTTCTTTGGGCCTGTTGTTGTTTTCTGAGCACATGGGAGTGTATCCTACATTTGACTTTTATATTCTGGGTTATTCAGGTCAATTTCAAATTATCTGCTCTTTGTCTCCACAAGTATATAATATTAAATCATGTTAGAAAAATATATGGTGACTCTAGGAAGCCTAGGCTGTTTATTTTTATTTCTTTTTTTTTTGTTTATTGTTGTAGTTTAAGTGAAAGTTTACATTTCAAGTTAGTCTCTCATACAAAAATTTATACATACATTGTTATGTGACCCTAATTGCTTTCCCTATACTGTGACAGCACACTCCTCCTTTCCACCCCTGATCGCCCATGTCCATTTAACCAGCTCCTGAGCATCTCTGCCTTCTTATCTCACCTCTGGACAGAAGCTGCCCATTTATCTTATGTATCTACTTGAGCTAAGAAGCACACTCTTCATGAGTATCATGTCCCACAGTCCAGTCCAGTCTTAATCTGACTAGTTGGCTTCAGGAATTGTTTTAGGTCGGGGTTGACAGTCTGGGGGCAATTCTTTCTGGGGTTCCTCCAGTCTCAGTCAGACCATTAGTCTGGTCTTTTTACTAGAATTTGAGTTCTGCACCCCATCTTTCTCCTGCTCCATCAGGGACTCTCTGTTGTGTTCCCTGTCAGGGTAGTCATTGGTGGTAGCCGGGCACCATCTACTTCTTCTGGTCTCAGACTGATGAAGTCTCTGGTTTTATGTGGCCCTTTCTGTCTCTTGGGCTAATACTTTCCTTGTGTCTTTGGTGTTCTTCATTCTCCTTTACTTCAGGTGGTTGGGACAAATTGATGGATCGTAGATGGCCACTCGCTAGCTTTTAAGACCCCAGACGCCACTCACCAAAGTAGGATGCAGAACATTTTCTTAATAAACTTTGTTACGCCAATTGACCTACATGTCCCCTGAAACCACGGTCCCCAGACCCCCACCCCTGTTACTCTGTCCCTCGAATTGTTTGATAGCCTAGGCTGTTTAGATGATGCCAAAGAAATAAATAAGTGCTGAATTGATTATTTGCTATGAAATCTATTCAGGCTGTGACTCCCAAAGGTCACTTCAAGGGAGTATCTTAGGGAAGGCTAGCATTCTCTGGATAAGAAGGGAAAAAAGGGCTAGACAAGTCATTGCTGGATGTCTGGGATAGTGGTGAAATGACCAGGCTAGTACAACAATAATATACAGACCTGTTTCTTCCTTAGAATGTGGAAATCTAGGGCCTCCTGGGGACACTTTTATCTTACTTCCAATACCAGAGACAGCATCTGTAGAAAGAGACACTAAAGGTTTAATTCAGATCAATGTTTTTGAAAAACCTATAACTAAAATCAGTCCTGTTGCCTTACTTTGATTAATACAAATTATTTCTATGATAGTGTTTTAGTAAAGGTAGTAATGAGGAATAGGAAATTAAGAGACTCAGTATGTTAGTGTATTTAAGTACTTTTCATCTATTAACTAATTTAATCCTCAGTACGATCCTGTGAAAGGTAGTGTAATTGTTATTTCCATTTTACAGATGGAGAGATTAAGGCTTCAAGAGGTTAAGTTGCCCAAAGCCACCTAGCTTTTGGCCTTGCTAAGTGCCTAGGTGCTTGTGGTTCCTGAGCCTCTGTTCTTTACCACTATGCTCTGCTCTCTCTCACATAGTATGAGACTAGTATGAGAAATGTATAAACTATGCAATTTGAATACTATGATAGGTGTAATAGTGGAGACATGTTGGGGAGAATTAGAAATAAGTCATGCTTTTTTTTTCACTGTGCAAAAATTTTCCTCATCTATAAAAAGTGTTGAAAATTGAATTTTTAAAAAAGTTTTAGAGAAACATCTAAAATTAGAAAATGACCTTAAGGTGCTGTTTTTGCCCTCTCTTTTTGTATTTTGTCTTCTTGCTTTAATTTTTATTTTTCATTTCCCCACCATTTACCAAGCCCTTATTTTTAATCTTATTTCTTCATATAGATGCAGTTTTTCTCCTCATAGTTTACATTTTTTTCCTGTAGGTTTTTGATGGTGCTGTAATCCCTCGACTTCTTTCTAATGACTGTTTCATGTTTTCTAACAGTTTTATGGTTTTCTTACGTGTGTCTTTTGGATATTGCTTTTGCTAGATTTTGAGATTTCCAAATTTGATCCTTTGGTATTGGTTGAATCTTATGTTCCTTCATGGAGTTGGCAGCAGAAAACTTGAAAGATTCAGAAGCTGGTCCTCCCTTTCCACATGACTTATGAAAAGAGCAGAATTATACTTCAAGATTTAAAATACTGATGAAGAAAATTATAGGAGTTTAAAAACTGGATCATCTTCACATGGAAGCCAAACTCTTGGGAATTTTATTTAAATCTGTTTTTCAGGGTAGAGTCACAAGGTCTATCCCTGTACTTTTTTTTCTCTTTTTTTGTTTCTCCTGTACATAGATGGTTCCTAGTAAATATTATATGACATGATATTGGAAAATTATTTTACCATCTAATGTGTTCTAAAGTGATACACTGAGAAAATTTTGAAAAATATAAAGCCCTACTTCTAGAATTGTAGGGATATAGAAATATAGTATTATGTTTTATAACATCTATTAAAGAGTAGATAGAATTCTTCTTCATTATGAAACTAAAAATAAGATTAACACATATTTGTCCTAATGTAAATAACTTTTTTTTTTTTTTAAACAGGCAGAAAAAATAATTGGCCACCTCTTCCCGGCAATTTTCCTGTGGGACCTTGTTTCTACCAGGATTTTTCCGTAGACATTCCTGTAGAATTCCAAAAGACAGTAAAAATTATGTACTACTTGTGGATGTGTGAGTATAAAATAAATTATATATTTGTTTATACTTTTCTGTTTTGTTGTCAAGATTCACCCTTTTTTTTTGAACTCATATTTTAAGGATAGTATAGTAAATTGGTCTTTTCCTACATATAGGAAAATAATCATAATTTTGAAAGTGCAACATAATATTTGGGTACTTCACAATTGTACTGTATGTGATAGTATAAGTCCTTAGCCAAGGAAAACTTATATATTTGAGAACTGGCATTCTTTTGTGGAAAGGATGACTTCTCTGTCATATGGATCAAATTTTGTAATGATCCTTTTTCCTTGAAAAACGTTATCTAGGCAATATTTGCTTTGAAAATAATTATGCGTGCTATTTTTATGCAAAGAAAGGGCATTTAAAAGTTCTGTTAAATGTAGGCATTATTACTATTTTTAAAAAGATGCATAAAATTATAAATTAAATCTTTTTAAAATAGCTTTCAGCACAATTTTCATTTTTAAATGGTAGTGAATATACTTTTTATTATTGGAAATACCTGGTTGATATATAGGGAGTTTTATTGAATAGAACATTGGAACATAGATTTTAGGCTTTGAGGCTCACGTTGCTTTAAACATAATCATAACTCGTGGAATATTAAAATAAGTCAAGCTATTAAAAGTTTTTATGTATGTACACAGACTCACCACTTACTCTCTGTTTCATTTTTATTCCCAGGAGTAGTCTCAGTCTCATTTAATATCATTATTTCAGTAGGGGAGGTAGCTATCATGGCTTCTCACCTGCACAACAGCTGGGTTAATGGATAATTTGTAGGGTACGTTCTTGATGGAGGAAATTGGTATGTTTTTACTTTATGATTAGGGAGCCTTTATTTTTTTTCCTAAATAGATAATTTTCATCAGAATCTTTTAGGAGCATTCCTTATGTATGTGCAGTTGCTTTGGAATTTGACGTGATTCCGTATGGATAGTACACTTTAAACTCTTATTTTTAGTTTCTTTTTTGAGGTTTTGTTCTTGATCTTTTACTGAGTTCCCAGTGTCGGTAGTAGTATATTTTCTTAATATTTAAGGTTATGATTTCCATCTGTGTACATGCTAATCAATGCATGCATTTAATCAAACATAATTTGGTATATGTGTGTGAGTGTATGTATGTGTTTATCTTCTAATGGGTAGAAATTGGCCTAGCATTTTAGGTGTAAGTTCTTTGACTTGGTGAAAAAAATTTTTTTGGTGGGAGGGATACAGGTTGCAAGAAAATTATATAATGGATTTATTAGTAAATAGAGGTTGAATGAGGAAATAGATTAATTTCAACAGTAAATTGTTAACCACTTTTCCAATGCTGATTTTTCAAAATAGTCTGTTTTGTCTTAGAAATATATAACTTTCTGAGGCTCTCCTAATATGTTGTTGTTGTTATGTGCCATTGAGTCAGTTCTGGCTCATAGCAACCCTAATACAGTTGACTATAATTTTCCCCAACCCTATTCAGTTGGCAGTTCTGTTAACTGTTTTCAAAAAGGGCTTAAGATTCCAGTTAAGTTTCTGAGCTGAAGAAGCATTACTTGAAACGAAGTAAGATGTAGTTCCAGCTCAGTAGTGTGCCCAGATTTCATAGAGTATAGGCTGTGTTAAGAAGTTGTTTTCAAGGTTTTAAGGGTCACTCTGTTGTTGATTTTGGGGTTGACTAATGCTGTCCTTCTGTAATAATAATTATGAGCACTAACATTTATTGAGGAATTACTTTGTGCAAAGCATAGTGCCAATCACATTATATACACTATCTTATTACATCCTAACCACACTATGAAGCAGTTACTATAGTATCTGGTTCTATAGCTAAGGAAACCAAAGCTTAGAGAATTTGAGTAACTTCTCCAAGATTAGGTTGGAACTGGATACTTTGACTCTAGATTTCCATGGTATACCACCTACAAAGTATCAAAATGAAGAAGTAACTTTACATTTTAAACCAAAATATGATAAACTTTACATTTTAAACCCAAATACTCTACTTGGAATAAAGAATTGATCCTATAAACGAGCTGACACAATTAGAAATATCACTGTGAAATGAATCTAAACCTCTTTCAGTGTACTTTTGAATTTGGAAAAAAAAGAAAAACTAAGAAAAACAAATTTGGTACATTAAAGACCATTTAGTGAAGATGATGATCTACTCTTATAAAGCTATTTATGTTAGGTCTATATCATAATGCAGAACTTAGTAAGAAGAATATTGTAGTAATGGTTGCAAATTTAGGTTCGCTGTTCCAGATTTGAGTGCTTAATAAAGCAAATTGGAGAGTCATTCAACTTGCAAAAGGATGTAAACAAAATGGCCTAAAGATTACTTTAGTGTTCTACCTGCGCTTAGAATCCACCAGCATCGATTCATTGCTCACTTGAATAGATTGAAATTAGCAACATAGCATTTCATGTTAGATTGCTTTTCTTTGTTTTTAAATCTCTGAATAAGTGAACAGACGCCTAGACGTTTTACTGTTCATTGGGTGCAAATAACTTATTACGGTTGGTAGTTGCTATGAAAACATTTAGAAAACTTTTCAATAGATTACACAAAATTAAATTGTTATTTTTATCTGTACTTGGAAGAATTTTTGTGAGCTTTAAAATATACACATACTCATATATTCTGTCTCATAAGTGGATTGGGAGATGAACTTTAAAATTTATTTCTCTGAAGATTGAAATTTGAGTTAGAATTTTCTAAACATTAAAAATTTCTTTAGGCAGCTGGATGCCATTTAATGCTACAGAATAATAATTTCCCATCTCGTTGTCTTTTGAATTCTGTTTTTAAGCCTCTTACAGCACTACCTTTATTTTGAGGCAAAGGATTTTGAGTAAATTTGTTAATAAAGTATTGTTCATGAGAGTTAAAAATCCTAATGGGAATAATTAGTAAGAGTCTCTTGTGTGTCCTAGAATGCAATGGAATTTTAAAGCTAGAAGAGCGCCTGCGTTTTTATAGCTGAAAACTTGAAGCTTCCATAGGTTAAGTTGTTGGCTCAGCAGTAGTGGACTGTAACCCAGGTCTCTTCACTCTTCCTCTGGAGCTCTATCTGCAGCTCTATAATTTGTGATTGCCTGTGGTTAGATGAGAGCAAATTTAGAGGCATCCTAGAATTTATGTTTTTATCGTATTTCACTAATGATTTATTTGATTCATAAATAAATGAGATTTTAAAATTAGTTTTTAAAGTTCGTTGAATTTTTTTTTTAATTTACATTTGATAGGTTTTCTATTTGTTATTTTTAATTCAAGTAATGGTATATTATTAATATATGGATAATTTACATTGACAATTATTGTAACTTTTAAAAGACTATTTCATATAATAAATTCAGCCTGTGAATCCATTTTTTTGATAAAACCTTTGAAAAAATAATTATAGTGAGTAATTGCAATTCTTTAGGATCATAGTATAGTTAGATATTACTCAGAATTTTTATTTTTGTTCTGTCAGGGAAAGTAGTTATTAAGAGCATATGCAGAGGTTGCTAAGATCTGTTTGTGTTGCCCAAAAGAAAGGTCTGCCACAGCAGCTGAAGTGCATCATGGTTTGCTCTTTTTTTTTTTTTTTTTTTTTTAAAGAAGTTGAATCTTCTGCCAGCATTTTAAAAATAAAAAATAATTGCCATAGAATGACTATGTAGCCACTGGAAATTGCTACTCTTTTAGTATTTTTAGTCGAAATGTCCTAACTAATTTTATTGCTGAAAAAAATGTTGTAATGATATTTCACAGGGCACTTCTCCATTTTTTCTCTTTTCTATAGTCCCGTTTAGGAGAATTTTGTAGCCCTACTCTGTAAAAATGTAGTTTTGAGTGTAGGATCTTTCTCCTCCCAAGTCCTGGTTCTCTCCTTGGCAGACGTTACTTTTCTTGTTGGGCCTCGGATCAAGGGACACATCACATGTTCCCTTCTGAGGACAGAAGTGCTTAAGGTAGTGCTTCTCTGGTTCAGCTGAGTAATTGTCCAGAAGGAGAGGGCCAAAAGAACTCATGCCAAACAGTGCTTGTATTAGGACTCCTTTTCCTGTGTATGCTCTGTTTTCAAAGCACATATGTAAAAAATAGCAGTATTTTCAAAAATATTGAGTGGAAACATGGAGTAGAATACATATGTTATTAGTAAATAGTTTTTTATTTATCATTTTTATTGAATGAACTCATAAATTGAATGTAAACATTTCTATTTTGTTTTTTGATTCCACAGTCCACGCTGTAACACTGTTTCTAAATATCTTCGGATGCTTGGCTTGGTTTTGTGTTGATCCTACAAGAGGGGTTGATTTTGGATTGAGTATCCTGTGGTTCTTGCTTTTTACTCCTTGTTCATTTGTCTGTTGGTACAGACCACTTTACGGAGCTTTCAGGTAAAATGTGTGTACTTTAAAATATGCTCTTCAAAACCTGTGAAGTAAATAATTCATAGTATTAGAAGGAAAATGGACAGATTTTTATTTTAAAATTTTTGATTACTGTATAATGTATCTTCAGAAAAGTATATATAACATGGCTATGTATTCATAAAATCCCATTCTTTTCTCCCACTTGAAAAAAAGATCAGATATGCAGATTAATTAAGGAAAAATGAGAACAGCTTTATACCTTGACATTTGTAAAATACTCTTTTCCATATGATACACTTGACTTTAAGGAAAATTTTGCTTTTCATCATCTCATCCTCTAATACCCCTCCCACTCCCTCCAAGTGGTGATTACAGCCGTGATTTTTAAAGAATCTAGTTAAAGTAAATATTAAAAAAGAAAAACCTAAACCCGTTGCCACTGAGTTGATTGCGACTTATAGAGACTCTATAGGACAGAGAAGAACTGCCATATAGGGTTTCCAAGGAGCGGCTGGTGGATTCGAACTGCCAACCTTTAGGATAGCAGCGGAGTTCTTAACCACTATACCACTAGGGCTCCAAAGTGAATATACATATGATATTTAAAATGAGTCAGTTTCATTTAGCACTTTAAAACTGTGCTCTGTATAAGTTCATTTTTGTTTTTTCAAAATACCGTCACATTTTAGAAACTAAGCTATAAGAGATAGTGCTTTACCTGGTTTATTTTAACTTATGGCTCGATTACAATTTCTTAAATGTGTGTTCTGTGGGATATTAATAGGTGTGGGGGAAAAGGGGGATTCATCAGCTTAATAAGTTTGGGGAAAGCTGAATAATACAGTTAAACAAGTTTTTTTATTTGAGAATTTCTTAGACTCTTTTAAGAGGCTAGTGTGCTTTGTGAGTTGACCATGAAACCATTCTTTTCTTGTGGAGTACCTTGTTGGACTACTGCTTTAAGAAATAAATGTTGAGAAATGCTGATTTGGATGATAGTCCTGTATGATTCCTATATTCAATACTGTATCAACTAATTTTTATTCGACCAAACTCATTATGAAAAATAAACCTTTTTTTAATCCCAGCTGTCACGAGTGAAGGGAAGTGTTAACTAGGGTACAGGCATGTGCTGTGTAAATGATATATTAGGGAAATTAGAGGGCCACACTCCATGGTCTAATTTTTTCCATTTCAACCTAACATCTCTTTAATTAACTGGAATGTGTATCACCAAAAAAAAAAAAAAGGTAATTAGAAACCCAAATGCGTAAGCAGATTGGGAGGAAGGCAAAGAGGAGGGTTGGGGAATTTGGACAGAAAAGTAAGTTGGTTAGAAATGAAATGAAGGAAAGAAAATAGATGGGAGGAGGGAAAGGAAGAAAGAAACTTTGAATATATTGGAATATGGGAAGTTGTTTGTCAAGGAATGGAGAGAGGTGCCCCTGTAGATGTGAGAGAAGAATGAAGAGGACGTACTTATTCCTTGCATGATCTAGGAGGCAAAGTTACTGCTGCTCTTTTACTTGTTATCAAGGCTCTTTTTTGGGCGGTGGGGTGGGAGGCGGTGGCATCTGACCTCTTCCTTAGTTACTCCATCATGTTACCAATGTTATCTGTAATGATGCTGATGGATAGGAGCAGGGATATCTTTGTAAGACTTTAAAAGTGATCCGAGACTAGAGACTTTGTAGTTTAACAATCTATGACTTATGTAAAGGAGCCCTGATGGCACAATGGTTAAGCATTTGGCTGCTGACGGAAAGGTCAGTGGTTCGAACCCACCAGCCACTCCAAGGGAGAGAGATGTGGCATTTGGTTTCTGTAAAGATTACAGCCTTGGAAACCCTGTAGGGCAGTTCTCCTCTGTCCTGTAGGGTTGCAATGAGTTGGAATTGACTAGACAGAGATGAGTTTGGTTTGTTTGGGTTTTGGTATGACTTATGTAGTGAAAATAAGCTACTAACAACCAGCTCTCTGTCTTTTATTACTTGAAGTCACTTGGTTCCTTTTTTTTTCTGTCTTAGCATGTTGAAAGAAAAATGCTTTGTGACTAGCTGGAGGCTTAAGGTATGGATGTTCTTTCATCTTCAACTCCTCTGGTGGAGCTTTCTCTGTAGGGACTGCATCTACTGGTTTTCTCCCTGGAGATGAATAATTAAATGTTCTGGTCTGATGGCACCCTGTCTGAACCTTCATCGGGATGATGAAAGGCTGCTGGTTTCAAAGAATTATTTCTAAACTACATAAGGGATTCTAAAGCAGAGTCCTGGTTTGAAGACTTAGACCTTTGCTTGGTTTGATAATACGTTTGTTGTTTGGCTACGCTCAAGTAGGAGCCATCCAGTTCCGTAGATGAAAATCAGAGAGTGCTTTTCCTATTACATATACTTCTGGAGGTCAGAAATGTGAAGTAAATTCACTGGACTAAAGTTAAGGTGCTTGGAGGGCTGGTTCCTTTCTGGAGGCTTTGTGGCATAGGTGGAAGCATTTTCAGTCTCTAGGCTAAATCCTTAGCTGCATCTCAGCCCCTTTCAACTGTATGACAAATATGTTAGTTATCTGGGTTTCACTGCTCAGAGCAGAACTCAGAGGAATAACATTTTACGGGAAAAGTTGAATTAAAGTATTTTACATCATTAATAGACCTTACCAGTGTGTAACTTTGTCTTAATTTATTGTGCTTTAAGGGAAAGTTTACAATTCAAGTTAGTTTCCCGTACAAAAATCTATACACATATTGTTATGTGACCCTAGTTGCTCTCCCTATACTGTGACTACATGCTCCTCCCTTCCATCCCAGATTCCCAGTGTCCATTGAACAGGCTCTTGACCCTCTCTGCCTTCTCATCTCACCTCTGGACAGGAGCTACCCATTAATAGTCTCATGTATCTACTTGAGCTAAGAAACACACTCTTCATGAATATCATTTTATGTCCCATTCAGTGTAATCTTTGTCTGAAGAGTTGGCCTTGAGAATGGTTTTAGTTTTGGGCTGAACGTCTGGGGGCCATGTCTTCTGGGGTCCCTCCAGTCTCAGTTAAACCATTAAGTCCGGTCCTTTTACTGGAATTTGAGTTCTGCACCCCACTTTTCTCCTGCTTCATCAGGGACTCTATGTTGTGTTCCCTGTCAGGGTGGTCACTGGTGGTAGCTGGGCACCATCCAGTTCCTCTGGTCTCAGGCAGATGAAGTCTCTGGTTCATGTGACCCTTTCTGTCTCTTGGGCTACTACTTTCCTTGTGTTCTCGGTATTCCCTACTCTCTTTTGCTCCATGTGGGTTGGGACCAGTTGATGCATCTCAGATGGCCACTTGCCAGCCTTCAAGACCCCAGACGAAACTCACCAAAGTGGGATGCAGAACATTTTCTTTTTTTTTTTTTAATTGTAGTTTAAGTGAAAGTTTACAATTCAAGGTAGTCTTTCATGCAAAAACTTATACATACATTGTTATGTGAACCCAATTGCTCTCCCTATACTGTGACAGCACACTCCTCCTTTCCACCCCGATTTCCCATGTCCATTCAACCAGCTTCTGACTCTCTCTGCCTTCTTATCTCACCCCTGGACGGAAACTGCCCATTTAGTCTCATGTATCTACTTGAGCTAAGAATAAGAAGCACACTCTTCATGAGTATCATTTTATGTCCCACAGTCCAGTCCAGTCTTTGTCTGAAGAGTTGGCCTTGGGGATTGTTAGTTCGGGGTTGACAGAGAGTCTGGGGGCCATGCTCTCTGGGGTTCCTCCAGCCTGAGTCAGACCATTAAATCTGGTCTTTTTACTATAATTTGAGTTCTGTACCCCACCTTTCTCCTGCTTCATCAGGGACTCTCCATTGTGTTTCCTATCAGGGTGGTCATTGGTGGTAGCCGGGCACCATCTAGTTCTTCTGGTCTCAGGCTGATGCAGACTCTTGTTTATGTCTCCCTTTCCGTCTCTTGGGCTAATACTTTCCTTGTGTCTTTGGTGTTCTTCATTCTCCTTTACTCCAGGTGGTTGGGACCAATTGATGCATCTTACATGGCCGCTTGCTAGCTTTTAAGACCCCACACACCACTCACCAAAGTAGGATGCAGAAAATTTTCTTAATAAACTTTGTTATGCCACTCGACCTAGATGTCCCCTAAAAGCATGGTCCCCAGATCTCTGCCCTTGTTACTCTGTCCCTTGAAATGTTTCACTGTATTCAGGAAAATTCTTTTTATTTTTTTATTTCTTTTATTTTTTATTGTACTTCAGGTGAAGGCTTACAAAACAAATACTTTCTCATGAAATAGTAGTACACATGTTGTTGTATGACATTGGATAACAACCCCACAACATATTAACCCTCTAAATTCTCAACTTTTTTTTTTT